CGGAATGGCTAGTGGTAGCCAACAGCAGCTAGAGGTTTTTGATCTGGCCGAGTAGAGCTGCTGTATGCGCTAGGCTCAAGAGAAAATGGCCGAACGCCCCCCCACGATCAAGCCGGGTACCAGGCGGTAGGACGACGTCCCCACGTCCCGCGTCTGGTGGGTGTGGAAGGAAAGCCCGGTGAAAGCCCACGGAAGTAGCGACCGATGTGTGGGAAACTCTTTAAAGGTCGGGGTTTACCACACTGAGGCCTGCCTGGCTAATGGAAGTGAACCTTCTGAGCCGGTTTCCGTATAAGGAAGGAAGGAAGGAAGCGCCCTAACTCCCTAGGCAAAACTTATTAAAACGCCCCCCTCTCACACATTAATTACTAAAACATATGTCTAAGAAAACAATTAATTAACAGTGACATATTAATTTATTATCAACTGCATACACGTTATAACTAGACATATAAATCAAATTTTATTTGCCTCCTTCGTCTCAAAAGTATATACTAATTTCTTCAATTCAGTTTGCAAGCTTAATCACATTTTATTGAAATTGTTGCTAAGTCCACGAGTCTACTTTGTACTTTACGACATAGCCCCCCCCCCCCCCCCCATTAGAAAATTTTAAGTGCTTCCCTTCCACTTCCCGGGAGAAAAAAGTCTGGGGGAAAAACCCTCTAAAAAGTTCTTGTAGTGTTGGGCTCTCTGCAGTCCTCCCAAGGTAAGTTCCAAATAGTGTTTATTCCAGACAGACTTTTTTTCCCCATGGGGGCACTTGAAATTTTCGAAGAGATGCCTGGAAGAAACTCTGATTCCAAAACGGAACTTACCTATTTTAAGCTTGACTGTCTAAGGTTATAATTGTAAAATGTCTATATTGTTTGATTATGTAACGATTTTTTTTGTTTTTTGAAAAATAAAAGGTTATAAATGTTATAGATTCCAGCCTAAAATTGTTATATATGAATCCTTTAGGAGAGGGTGAAAAATATGAAAAAACAATTAACTAGATTTTTAATTTACGACTAAGACTATGTCTACTACAGAGTTTCTTCCAGGCATCTCTTCGGGGGAGCCCCCCCCCCCCCACCCCCCCTCCCACCCCCGAAATTTTATTTACCGCCGCCCCCCCCCCCCCCCCAACGAAATGAAATCTATATAATTTATATAGAAAATATATACTTTTAACAGTGTCCGCCTCCCCCCCCTCCCCCCCCCCCCCCGAAGAAAGTCTACTGCAAGAATTTGAAATGAATGTAAAGTTAAGCAACGAATTATCTCCCATTTGAAAATCCAAATCCAAATACCAAAATTTCATTCAAGGGAAATAACTTTCACAAGAATGGCTAAATTAATCAAGTGTAACTAAGACATGCTTGAAAAACACAATAAAACGCTCTAAATTTAATTACGTAATAATTATAATAAATATTTTATATTAGCTATGCAACCTTGTAAAAACAATATATTTTACCTATTGAATACTTAACTGCAGGTTTTGTTTGAAAGTAAAAAAATGGCAGCTTTATTATAACATACTTCTATACAATTTTGATGACATACATTTAATATTTGTCGACTTTGCAAACACTTCTTACAAATTTTGGATCCCCTAAATAAAGGGACGCCTTTCAAAAAAATCAAACACGGGTAACTGTTTTAGACATTGCTAGAACAATTGATTAAATATAAAAAAAAATTATAATTTGAAAAAACAAAGTTTACCGTTAGTTATAAATTCCATCCTATTCAATCTATCTATATATATAATTCTCTTCTGGGAGACGCTAGAAAACAAGCTGTAAACGCGCTCCCTACCATCCCACCCCTACATGGTCTTAGTGAGCTGTGTTTAGTGACGACTATTAGGGGCAGATAATTTAGTTTGAAACGATTTTAAACGTAGGGGGGAGGAGGGGGGGGGGGGTAGTATCGTCTTTAACGACCTACTGATATTGTTTTAAAGCAAATATTTTCAGTGGCAGCATTGGTACTGTCGAATTCACAAGTTATGAATTACTGAAAAGTAGAAAAAAAAAACTAAATAGTGGCGTATGTTATGCCGCGGGCCGGCTCGTATATATAATTCTCTTCTTGGAGACGTTAGAAAACAAGCTGTAAGCACGCCTTGCAGTCCCCTCTCTTCCCCTCTAGGCATATCACATGGTTTGGTTAGCTGTGGTTTCACGCTAAATGTTTACAATCGTACAGCTGGATTAGTGACAGCTAATAGGGGCAGATAATTTAGTTTGAAACGATTTTAAACTTAAGGGAGGTAACTAAGAGGAGGCTGCTTTCAGGAGGGGGGGGGGGGTAGGGGTTGGGGGAAAGGAGGGGGGGGGGGTTATCGTCCTTAACGACCTACTGATAGTGTTTTAAAGCAAATATTTTCAGTGGCAGCATTGGTACTGTCGAATTCACAAATTATGAATTACTGAAAAGTAGAAAATAAAACAACTAAATAGCGGCGTAGAGGCGTAGATACGCCGCGGGTCGGCTCGTATATATTAATACTTTAAGAGTGGTAATAAAGATTCCTAAAAAAAACTAAAGATTTTTCAACTAGAGAACACCTACCTTTCTTTGTAGTGTTTTTCGTACTGAATTGAAATCATCTAACTTACGATAAACTCAACTACTCGATATACTCTACTACATTCACAACACATATCAAACTTCGATACCTAAACATAACAAGACTCGAAGCTCAAGAACTACGACACCAACTCGCTTAACTTCATCAAGCTCTCAGTGTTTCTTCCAGACTTTTTTCTCCGGGGGGGGGGGGGGGGGGGGCACTTGATATTTTTGGGGGGCGGTCAACATTTTTCCGGGGGGGGGGGGCGGACACTAGTAAAAGTGTATGTTTACTATATAAATTCCATCTCGTTCGGGGGGGGGGGGAGCGGTAGAACCTACAACTACACTTTAACAGTCAATATAATTCGATACCCTAATACCACAAGAATCAATACTCCCGAACTCCAGAACTACGATACTTCATCACCTGCATTATCATTTCTCTGTTACCGATCAGATTCCACTAGATCTTCAACTACAAAACAGCCGAATAAAAAATACGACACTTTAACACTTTGATATTTAAATTACGAACTTATTTAATCGTTTTCTACATCAATAATGTTACACCAAATTAAAAAGGCAAAGTGACTGGTAAAAGCGCCCAGACCTTTCTAAATTAGGGAGGTGGGGTTGCATTTTCACCATAGCGAATAAATAAAGTCCTATATAGACCTAATTTTGGAGTGGGGGTGCAAAAATAGATCGCTACTCCTTTATAAAAGATATTAATCATTAGGATAATTTTTGATAATAGCGATTAAACATTTTGCGCCCCCTAGGGATGGCGCCCTAGGCGACCACCTAGTTCGCCTTATAGGTAGCGCCGGCCCTGCTTGTGACGATGTGGCCGAATGGTAGAGCATTTGAATGGTATCCAGAAGGTCTCGATGTTGACCTAACCCCCCCCCCCCTAAAGTAGTGATTTTGAGGGGGGGGGGGTAGTAGACTGAGGTAGGAAGTCAGTTTGGGGGTAAGGGAGTTTGGCTGTGTGGAAGGTATCATCTTCTTGCCATGACACGTGGGGCAGATAAAGTAGAGTTCAGATGTTTTAATTACCTCGGCATTACGAAGAGATAGTGTGCTCAGCACTATCCCCAGTCGCTTTTACGTAAGTCAGTTACCTATCAGATCTGGGTTAACTCATGGACGCTCTACAAATCCGAACCGAGATCCGAACTCGAGACTTTCGAACTTTAAGTCAAACGCTCTACCATTCGACCATCTACAAGCTGGTGGTCACCTCTCTTGAAAGCACGAGTAGACTCGCCCGCCGGTCTACCGGGAAAAATACAGTTGGACCTCAAGAAAAAAAAAATTATGTCGGACCCCCAAGATAAGTTCTCGTAGGGTCCTCTAGAACGGTGCTGTAAATAATCTAAAATTTTAAAACATAATTTCTTGGTATTTTTCTGTTTTACCATTTCCACTCCTGCATAGCAAATCATAAAATTCAGGCTTTACTTGTTGAAAACCCATCATGATAAAAATGTAAATCTGGGGTTGGGGGCCCCTTTTAAAACTTTCCGGACCTCTTAGACACAACCAGTCAACAAGTAATTGTGGTACGTTGTATTTCTATGTGTGTGAGTGGTACGTTGTATTTCTGTGTGTGTGAGATGTACGTTGTATTTCTATCTGTGTGAGTGGCACATTGTATTTCTATCTGTGTGAGTGGTACGTTGTATTTCTATCTGTGCGTAGTACGTTGTATTTCTATTTGTGTGAGATGTACGTTGTATTTCTCTCTATGTAAGTGGTACGTTGTATTTCTGTGTGAGTGGTACGTTGTATTTCTATCTGTGTGAGATTACGTTGTATTTCTATCTGTGTGAGATGTACGTTGTATTTCTCTCTGTGTGTCATACAAAGTTGACGTCGTGTTTCTGCAGACTTGACCAAACGAGTCAAAAGTCTGGAGCAGCGGGTGGCCGAGCTAGAAGGGAAGCTGACGTCCATGCAACCTCTGTCAGCGGGTCTCACACTGCTCGGGGACGACATCTCGTTTCTGATGAGGAGAATTGGCGAGATGGAGAAGTCTAAACTGGATCCACGGCAACAAGGTAAGGTTGTGTGGTTTAGGTAAGATTGTGTGGTTTAGGTATGATGGTGTGGTTTAGGTAAGATGGTGTGGTTTAGGTAAGATGGTGTGGTTTAGGTATGATGGTGTGGTTTAGGTAAGATGGTGTGGTTTAGGTAAGATGGTGTGGTTTAGGTATGATGGTGTGGTTTAGTAAAGATGGTGTGGTTTAGGTAAGGTGGTGTGGTTTAGGTAAGATGGTGTGGTTTAGGTAAGGTGGTGTGGTTTAGGTAAGATGGTGTGGTTTAGGTAAGGTGGTGTGGTTTAGGTAAGATTGTGTGGTTTAGGTAAGGTGGTGTGGTTTAGGTAAGATGGTGTGGTTTAGGTAAGGTGGTGTGGTTTAGGTAAGATGGTGTGGTTTTGGTAAGGTGGTGTGGTTTAGGTAAGATGGTGTGGTTTAGGTAAGATGGTGTGGTTTAGGTAATATGGTGTGGTTTAGGTAAGATGGTGTGGTTTAGGTAAGATGGTGTGGTTTAGGTAAGATTGTGTGGTGTAGGTAAGATGGTGTGGTTTAGGTAAGATGGTGTGGTTTAGGTAAGATGGTGTGGTTTAGGTAAGATGGTGTGGTTTAGGTGAGATGGTGTGGTTTAGGTAAGATGGTGTGGTTTAGGTAAGATGGTGTGGTTTAGGTAAGATGGTGTGGTTTAGGTATGATGGTGTGGTTTGGGTAAGGTGGTGTGGTTTAAGTAAGATTGTGTGGTTTAGGTAAGGTGGTGTGGTTTAGGTAAGATGGTGTGGTTTAGGTAAGATGGTGTGATTTAGGTAAGATTGTGTGGTTTGGGTAAGGTGGTGTGGTTTAAGTAAGATTGTGTGGTTTAGGTAAGGTGGTGTGGTTTAGGTAAGATGGTGTGGTTTAGGTATGATTCTGTGGTTTAGGTAAGATGGTGTGGTTTAGGTAAGATGGTGTGGTTTAGGTAAGATTCTGTGGTTTAGGTACTGGTCGGTGAACCATAGCTACATACAGTGGCGTTATTAGGTCGGGTGACACCCGGTTGGATTTAAAAAAGAAAAATACGTGAATTAATAGTGTTTATAAGTGTAGAGAGTAAAAAAAAATGAAATACATAATTATTCGTAAAAAAAACACCCTATGAATGAAAAAAAATTTTTTTTAAAGAAAATACAAATCATATGTATATACTGGCCTACAATCTCTATAACAATGTTACATTACAACAATCTGTATAACAACGGTACATTATAACAATCTGTATAACAATGTTACAGAGACAGTTACCAACATACTGGAGTACAACGACACGTACTCGGGAGATCTGATGCTTGACAGAGCACAAGAAGTTCGGCTGTTTGATAGCACAGGTAAGTTCATCGCATTGGTAGTGAAGGTGATTTTATTGCATTGGTAGTGTAGGTAAGTTTATTGCATTGATAGAGGTTATTCTATTGCATTGCTACTGCGGGTAATTTTATTGCATTGGTAGTGAAGGTTATTTTATTGCATTTAGTGAAGTTAATACAATTGCATTGGTAGTGAGGGTAATTTTATTGCATTGGTAGTAAAGGTTATTCTATTGCAATGTTAGCAAAAGCAGTGGCGTTTCAAAGCGGGTGCGGGGGGAGGGGGAGAAGGGGTCGGTCCGCACCGGGTGGCATCATTTTGTGTGTGACACCCCCCAGGAGAAAAATCGTAAAATTTTCTGTAGAAACAATTTTATGTCCAATTAAAATAACAAAACACTAAGGGCAGAGAGGTGACACCAACCCGAAAGCGAAAAATTATTGGAAGAGGGTGGGGTGACACCCACAGTGACACCACGACAAAAATCGTAAAATGTACTTTAAGAATAATGTTTTACACAGTTAAAATAACAAAACAGTGGATGGAGAGGGTGACACCAAACCGAAAATGCTAAATTATAGGAAGAAGTTGGGGTGACACCCTCAGTACCGTACCGTAAGGCACCCGATCCAGTGACGTCACTGAACAAAAGTGATGTTACCGCATTTAGTACTAAACACGCTGAATAAATCCTGTGAAAATTGCTTCCACAACGATGACGGGACTTCTGAAACATAATCTACTCACATTTTGAAAAGGGGAGGGGTGTGACTTCCATCTCACTATTTTGCAATTTACACTTTGTTACGGCAAAACTATTGTCAAGTATGAGTAGTCATATGGACACACAAGCTTCTGAGGTCCAAGCGTTGAAAATGTTTTTACAGAAACTGTTTTTACTTCTGGAATTAATTTTTACATAAGCTAGTAGTACTGTGGTTTTAACGAAATATATTTTGACAATCTGAACTACAATGCAGCCAAACTTGTCTAACTTTCAGAAGAAGAGATTCAGCACGGCGATGAAGAGTACAAAGCAAACGAGCGCACATTTTTAGATACAGCAAATCTCCACCCTCTGAATCAAAGGAAGTTTAAAAATGAAAATGAAAGTGAACCGGAAACGCCAACACCGTCATCATTTTCACTCGGTGAACTGAGTTTGAAAACATCGTCTAAGTTCCAATGGAAATCAGACACAAATTTTTCTGAACCGCCTCAAAATACATTGACGTCATCTAATTCAACGAGGACTATGGAGTTTGATGGCAAACTATTTACAGAGTTAAAACCGATTAATTTAAGGAAGATAACGGTTTACTCTGATGCAACGCCGCTATATTTAGATCCTAGTCAACGCGGGATAGCTCAGTCATCGCTAGAAAACCAACTTAACACGCAAACCAGTGACGTAGATAAAATGACGTCAGAGTTTACAGGGCCGAAACCGGAAGAGCTCAACCAACCAGACACTCGCTACCACCGTAAAAGATGCATCGGGTGTAAGAAGGTTAACAAAGTACCACCACCTCCGCCCCTGCCCCCTGCGGAAGTCATCGACGCCATTCTCTTTAAACACAACAACACGCGAGGTTTAAAAATGGGGCAGAGAGAGTTTTACAAGCTGGTGGTCACCTCTCTAGTTAAAATCCCCGAGTACTCCGCGAAGTATAAAGACAAACTTAATTCCTTCTCTGCAGGTGATGAAGCGAAGGAAAATCTGACCAGTGGCGTAGCAGACGCGAGAACGCCGGACGCAGACTATGAAGTAGACACTGAACTCAAAGGTTTGCTCGAAGAACTCAACACCGATACTTCACAGACCAACACCACAGGTGAACATCAGACGACGGATAATCCGGCGGTCTACCGGGAGGTAGTTCAAGGTCACAGTAACGCTCAGAATTCCAGTAGCTACCTTCAGCCTTTGATGGCCTTTCTCCGGAGTGGGGGTCAGGGGTTGATGCAGGTGGATCTTGTGGTGCTGCTCTGCGCTGTCCTCTTGCCCGTTGTGTTTACTTTGCAAGCTGTGTGAGTGCTTGCACTTCCTGACGACAAACGCGCGTTATGTAAGCTGGGAAGATCTTTCTTACCCAAAGATTGATCTTGTGTGTCAATATTCATTAATACAAAATGGATATTACGCAATCTGTGAAGATCTTGGTTCCCAAAGTCTGACTGGTACACATGTAATTAGTAACGATCTTCATTTTCAAAGATTCACATGCATTTTCTAAAGATTTTTATTACTGAAGACTGTCCAACAGACTTGTCATTTGTTAAAAAGCTTTGCTATCAAAGACTGATACACGTGCACTCTGTGAAGATCTTTGCTATCAAAGACTGATACACGTGTAATTTATGAAGATCTTTTGATCAAAGACTGTCCGATACACGTACGATTTGTATGTTATGAAAGACTTCGAGGCGACTGTATCACTTAAGCTGTCCTAACCACTATCCCCGATGTATTTATAGATTGTTACGTCAGACCACCATTCCAGGGTCCGGGGGCGTGTCTAGAGAGTGGCACCACAATATCCCTTACCTCACCCCACCTGAACATACATGCTTCAAATTTAGAAACAGCGTATTTCAAAATACCGTTATTTCAGCTGTATATGATTAATTAGCTTCACTTATTATGCTGTTATGATTCATTATATCAGATGTATATAATCACGTAATTTCATTTATCATATTGTTATAATTCATTATATCTGTTGTATATAATTACGTAATTTCATTTCTTATTATATTGTTATAGTTAGTGCAAATGTGATGGAAGTTGATAACTGGGTGGAGGGGGGGGGGGAGGGGGGGGGGGTGATGACGACAACTGCCTGGGGGTCTGGGGTCGCTCGTTTTAAGAGACCTCAAAATGTTTCTTTTGTATGTAACACAGAATAAAATATTATAGAAAAATAGTAATAGGGGTCGTGGGTTGGGTCAGCCAGGGGTCTGTCATTGGGGTCGTGGGTTATATCAGCAGGGTTCAGTGGGTTATGTCAGCAGGGGTCGGTCATTGGGGTCGTGGGTTATATCAGCAGGGTTCAGTGGGTTATGTCAGCAGGGGTCGGTCATTGGGGTCGTGGGTTATATCAGCCAGGGTCGGTCATTGGGGTCGTGAGTTATATCAGTGTAAACTGCTGAAGACAAACTGAGATAGACAGGACACAAGTCATCAATGTGATCACGTGACACTTTGAATTGTGTACCTGAAAGTAAGACTGAGACAGGTCTATTTTGTTATCTGTAATGTTAACTACTAATTAGTCAATATATGATCCCGGTGTTAGTGAGATGTTAATTACTAATTAGTCTATAACCCCACTAGACTATTTCACTACACGTTCAATCTTAAATAGTTGAAATGGATGACCATGTTATTGCTAGATTGCTAGTGAAACGTTAATTACAATATTAGTCTACAACACCACTAGATTTTTTATTACATGTTCACACTGTCCTATACTTGAAATGGAAGATTAAGTTCATGTGATTTTAATTACCATTAAATTATCTAAAGCTATAAAGTAGTGTACATCCAACACACTGTTCACCCACAGGAATGTAGCATCATCACCCATGTGATATGCATAACCAATCATTACTTTGTTCACTCTTCTTTGTAATTTTTCCTTTAACAAGGAAATATTGTAAATAATAAACATCTTTGCTATTTGTACTCTGGGTTGTTTTCATAATAATGTAATTAGTCTTTACATTAATTAACACCATCATGTCATCAGAGTTGGAGCGATTAGAATAAAAACGTGAAGCAGTCACATATATTGTAATAGTGCTAATTCACAGGTCCCAAATCTGTCAGTCTGGAAGGGTTTTCTGAGGGGGTGGGTGTACAGCTCTTTTGACTTTTTAAAAAGGGAGCCACCCATAGACTATTTAAGTTCTAAAATCCCCCCCCCCCCAATCTCATTCACATCATTAGAAAAGTACTTATTCTACACAGTTTCACTTGGACATTAAAATAATAAACTGATTCAATGACTTATTGACTAATTTTAAATAGAGAGAAAAAAAAAAGAGTATAAAAAAAAACCAACAATAAAATGAATTTGTTTAATTGTTCTGTTTAGGCCAACACAACTCACCAACAGCTTGATCGCACAAGTAAAAAAAACCATAAATCATCTGACACATTCTCAGCCTAACGTAGAAAATCTGCTAAGCAGAAAACAAAACTCCTTCAAATTACAATTTGTGTTACTAAAAATGTTTAAATACAAGATGTTTTTATAAATCAATAATTCAACAATAAACTAATTAAACATGACATGTTGCAATTTAAGTAAAATTTGAAAAAAAAAAAGATAAATTGATGTCTAATTAAGAAAAAAAAAAATGGCCCACCCTGGTGCTTCCTCTCAACATAAACAAAACAATTACACAAATCAAAAGGTTTGGACTGAAAAAATATAAACAAAACAGGTAAGGAATGGAAAGCTTCACAGGTTTCATGGGGCTGGGAGATAACTCTAGATGGAAATCTCAGATTTGTTCATAAACACACACAGAGAGGCAGTAGCTACATGGTCAGTACATTAGAGATAGCCAAGTCAGTGATGATAGATGTGCATGTAAGAGTTCACCAACACACAGGCAGTATACACAAATAGAACATTAGTCAGTGATGATAGATTGTACAAGTCAGAGTTCATCAGGACAGAAGTACCAACACAAAACATTTCAGTACATTAGTCAGTGATGATAGATTGTACACTTATTCCATCGAAACATCAACACACACTTGTACAGGCAGTAAACACAAATAGTACATTAGTCAGTGATGATAGATTGTACAAGTCAGAGTTCATCAGGACAGAAGTACCAACACAAAACATTTCAGTACATTAGTCAGTGATGATAGATTGTACACTTATTCCATCGAAACATCAACACACACTTGTACAGCCAGGCAGTAAGCATTGAGTGACAGATATCTGCAGTTAACCTAAGAGATCTGATATGAGCAAACATTCTTTGAATTAAACTAACAAGTTTTATAATAAATGACAATATATTTTCCTGTTATAACGGGTTATATTAAATGACATGTATTATACGGGATACTGAGGATTGTCTTGTAGCTAGCAACATGACAAATAATACAACATGATGGAGCATCTGCCTCACTTTTTGAACAGTTTAAGACCAGACACTCAAATAGATGCCCTACACACAAACCACCTAGACTTAGAGCAATACTGTTTTAGACCAGCCACTTAACGAGATGCCCTACACACACACAAACATGTTGACCAGCACTGCTTTAGACCAGCCACACAAACCAACTAGACTAAAGCCGGCAATGTTTAAGACCAGCTAATCAAAGAGATGCCCCAACACACAAAGCACCTAGACTTAAAGCAATACTGTTTTAGACCAGCCACTCAAAGCAACCAACCAATGCCAGGGTTGAGATCATTGAGATTTGTTTGATTCATGCAAGAAAACCACCACACATCTGAAACAACTCAACTGCTACAAATGAAACCAAATACTGTTTGCCTTTATCACAACGCATGCGTGTGTAACACTTTAACATAAGACCAGGCTAACCTTTAACCTAACCCAAAACATTACATCATACACACTAAGATAATATTGCTTCATATGTTAACCAATGATTTTATATAGAAAAGAAATCAAGCACGGCTGTAACACAACATTAAACTCAATCCATATATAAATGCATGATGAAGAATGGTTAACTGAAAAATATACACAACAAAATGGAATTACATGGAATGCAAGTTCTCTTCTCCATCAAAAACAAGCTATTGGTAGAGTGCTATGTACACAAGCTCTATGCTACAGATTCTAGGATACACATACACAACAAGACAGAAACTTCCTGGTTATAAGAATACACTTTATCAACACTAACAATTCCATCAGATTGTTCTAGACCGACGAAATTAATGATAGTAAACAACAATTTTTTTATTGCATTAATGTTAATTTAAAAAAGATGGCTATCATTGCACTACAGTAGCATGTTGTTTTAAAGTTCTATATTTCCATAAAATTACAATCACAAAAAAAGTAATTTTAAAAAAAATGGTGTGATATGTATAATTTTTTGCAAATTGGTGTAAAAAAAATACATTCATTGAACAAAAACTGGCCAATTATAAGTAAACGTAGTTGGTCCAACACTTGTTATTCAATTTATCCTGTAGTTACAAAGTGTTTCAATATGAAAATTACTTTGCTGCCTCGCCATGCTGGGTACATTTCAAAGTTTGATGTCCAAGATTAACTATACAGACTGATGTGACTGACAATACCATTGATACTGAGCAAAATACAATGATACAATCTGATGAAAGACAACTCTAGTTGTGATTCATTGAGAAAAAAATCCACCTTCCATACAATCACTGAACTAGAATGGTCGAAATATCAAGAAAAAATAAACCAGTTTAAATCTCATCTTTAAAATTAAACGCAAAACTCGACTGACAAAAAGTATGAGAACAATAATAAATCTTATAATTTTTAAACCCAGAACAATGAAAGAAAACATGGAAGAAATAACCAAGGCTAAAACAAGACTGAAAATAGAAGGCTAAGGTGAATGCCTCCACTTTTTTCCATGACACACAACACAAGAAGATGATTATCATGATTATCAATACAACCCACGGGACTTGCTTAAAAAAACATGTATTAAGTTACCAATCATAAATTAAAACAAACATTTCCTCCAAACCATCCTTCCAGTATGATAGAGAAAAGTGTATACAAATATACAGGATTGTTCATAGGGAAAGGTTCAGGGACCATATCAATAAGTTAATATTCTACAAAACAACTGGATCAGCTTGTATCAAAACAAACTTTATCCCAGTCTGGATAAGTGAACTCAGTCACCAGTCAATTTTACACCTTGCATCAAAAATATTGAATAATTTTTATGCAGAGAGAAACAAAAAAAAAAAATCTGATGTCTGATTAAAAAAAAAAAAGAAAAACTAATCTCGTTTCAGATCCACAGGGAGAGAGTTCAGTGGATGGCAGTCTTGCTGGAGGCACGTTTGCTCTTGCATAGTCTCTTGTGGTAGCTCTGGGCCATGGAGTTGAATATAGAGAGGACAAAGTACACCACCATCACCATGACAAGCTTCTCAAAACACCAGGACAAAATGTTGCCACCCTGTAACAACAAGATTTGTATTTAAATTACATTTTAGTTAAAAACATCTATAGGCCTACTCATCTACAATACTAACATTCAAATGTCATAAATAATGATTAACATCTTGATATTATTATTATTATTAGCCTAAATATTTAAAAATATGTAATTCAATATAAATGAAGCATCCTAGAAAAGACAGAAGTGATGAGAATTAACAATAACCAGGAGGCCCCAGTGACAATAGATGGAAGACAGGTAAATGATGTGCAAGAGTTTGTCTACCTTGGCAGCAAGATCAGCAAAACGGGAGGCACAGAGGAGGACATACGCGCTAGAGTTAATAGAGCCCGCTGTGCTTTCACAGTCCTGCGACCCATATGGAAAAGTTCGGCCATCTCAATTACCACAAAAATTAGGACATTTAACTCTAATGTCAAGGCAGTTCTGCTGTATGGAGCAGAGACATGGAGAGTCTCCAAAGCAAGCACAGCAAAGATACAGACCTTCATGAATAGATGCCTTAGACAGATATTGAAACTGAGATGGCAGGACAAAGTGCCGAACATAGAACTATGGAGGAAAGCTAGGCAGGAGCCTTTGGGTGTGCAAATCAGGACGAAGTGGCGCTGGGTGGGTCACACACTGCGAAAGGCTCACCCAAATGTTACACGCCAAGTGCTTGAGTGGAACCCCCAGGGAAAGCGGAAGAGAGGGCGCCCAAGACAGACCTGGAGGCGGAGTCTTCTTGAAGAACTGAAGCCAACAGGGATGTCTTGGGAGATGACAAAATTAATAGCAGGGGATAGGAAGAAATGGAAGGAAATGGTGGAGGCCCTATGTTCCATAAGGAGCAAAGAGGACTAAGTCAAGTCAAATGAAGCATCCTAGGATGTTGCCTAATTGATGATCTAATCAAACTTCTTTAAAGAGAGAACTATCAAAGACATGACAGCCTAAAGTATTAAGTAAAAAAACTGTCCACTTACCCCATCATCCTGACCAACACCTGGCTTATGATGGAGTTTCTGTTTTTGTTTTTCCAAGTAGTCGGTAAATGGCTTCTGGGCCAGAGGTCCAAAATGGGGAATATACCTGGGGATCATTGAAATGGTTACTGTTACTTTTTTAACTGTTTTTTTTTTGTTCTAAAAATGAATATATGGGTGGAAGTGGGGAGAAAGATTTGGAGAATTGTTTTATAATGTAGCTAATCTGGCATGCACTAATACATCTTAAAACATGTTAGGATTTTTTAAAACCAACTCTGAAATAATTTACATTCAAGCCAAGCATTTGATACAAAATTTGAATAAGGTGTTTAAAGCCTAAATAATATATCAAAACATAGTTTTAAACCTGACACTTATTTATAACCCTAAGCTGTATATCATAAATCATAAACCATTACTTGATGCACTTAAGTTAAGAAAACAGGCTGGCAGAAACCAGGAGCAAAATGTTTGCACTCAACATTTCTACCTAAGTCAGAAACAGTACCTGGAGCTATATATGAACTAAAGACAACTCTTCTAAAGGAAGAAACAGTACCTGGTGCTATATCTGAACTAAAGACAATTCTACCTAAGGAGGAATCATACATGTACTCACCCAATCAGCCTAACAACCTGCTCCACATGGTGAGCACTGAATATAAATATAACAAACAGTTTCTGCGGAATAAAAGGTTTCATACAAATAAGAAGAATAAATACTGAAAAAAATGTGATAAAAAATTCTATTCTACTGACAAAAAAAATATTTTTTTAAAAGCATTAATACCTGAATATGCATTTTGACAATAGCTTTGCCAATGAGGGTAGCCCCAAAGAATGTCCAGAATGGGATGAGGAAATGACCACAAGTGATTCCAGCAAGATCAAACAATGGGTTTGGAATCTAAAGGGAAAAAAAAGTTTAGATGATCATTTAAAACAAAACGCCTGGCCAGATGGTTCACTTAAACTTGTGTACTAATGCACTCAACCAAATTCAATGGGTATAATGACATAAAAGGGACTCACTGAAGCACAGGCCAAAATGCCAAAGAATCCAACTCGCTGTACTAAATTATGTATAGACAGCTTGGCCTTTTCCAAAAATCCCTGTGAATAGATTTTTAAAAACTGTAATATTGTGTATGTCATCAAAGTTTTGTGATAGTATGTAAAAAAATATCTGATTTTATCATGCATGTCACAAAATGCATTAATAAATTACCTAATGGGACAAGCACAATATCTAAGAAACATTTGCTTTGCTCATTTATCTTAATAAGATCTAACATTGAAAGACAAAAAGAAATGGACAAGTTGATTGAAGCTTGATTCCAATTTTTATGTAGTGTACTTTAAAATAAAACTGTGCAGTTGAGAAGGAGAGAGTGGGTAAAACATTTCAAGTTTCTTTTTCTAGCAAGACCTTAATTTAAATTTGTTTTCCAGCAAGACCTTTATAAATAAACCTTGTCTGGATGCATTCAATGAGGGCAAAGAGGGGAGATAAGCATACTTTGGCAGCAAAACATAAGTTATTCCAAACCATATTGTTTTTAAACATAAGGGTTATCACTACAACGTAAGCATGCATAGAGATATCAAGTAGGCATTCAGTCATGAAATGAGTATAAACATGATTTAACTGTATATAAAAAAAAATTATTATTTTGATACGAAGAACGAATTTCATGTTATTTTAAACAACTGCTTTTAGTTACCAATACTGTATTTATTTCTTGAACCGAATTATTAACCCACAAACAGTTATAAAAATTAAATTTATGAGCTTCCTTAAAAATTGCTTTCATTTCAATCCATTATAGGACTTAGGACATTAGAAACAACAGATTAATCAAACAAGGAATGTAGTTTGTTCTGTTAATAGAAAAATATGACAAGTAAATAACTAAAATTTAATTTAAAAAAAATTAAATAGAAATCATAAACTAGGTTTTCAATCTAAAAAAAAAAAAAAATTGCTATTTAAAAGTATAAAAAAGAAACTGCTATTCATAGGTTTTAAAAAAACCTGTAAAACTGTGTTCTTAGTTCTTTATAAGAGGTAACTACCGCCAAAGAATGGATTGAAATAACCAATAAGACTACGTAATTGTGAAATGCATTTATAGTATGCTTTTGTTTCATGATTTTAAACAATTAAAAACATTCCCACAATCACAGCAAACACTTATAGTGTTCATTTTCAAGACCCACATCCTAAAGATTATGAAATGGAAAAAATAAACAACCCATATAAAAAACTATTCACATTACTTTCCCTGCAATCTGTAAAGAAAAAAGTTGAAAAGAAAAGCATCATGCATAGGAAATTATACATTTAACACAAAAAACCAGTAACATGTAAATAAAAAAAAACTGTAATAAAAAATATAGCAAGCCTCTTAAGTAATGCATCAGAGAAATGAAATCAAGTTAATTATCGGTGTGCCTTACCATTTCTTCAGGATGTCTTTTCTTCTCATGCAGCAGCTCCTCAATCTCCTCAAAGTCATCATCTTCTAGGTCTACACCAGACAAGCGAGCTGCCCTGGCCATGAAATATGGTGGCAGCTCACCAATGGCTGTCCCTGCTCCCTGATGACAAATCATACATTTAAATTCATAAATCTTCACATGATAATTTGAAATTTAAAAAAAAAAAATTGAAGTCTAAATTTTAAGCACAAAATAACAGGACTTCAAGCATTACATAATTTACAATTAAAAATGGCTTAATTCCATTGAAAGATAAAATTTCAATAGAACTTTAAGAAAATTCAATTTCACACAATCCACCAGTAGTTCTACAACACAATTAACATAAAGCTTTTTTTTTTCATAGTGCAAGCATGTCAAGGCTCAAGTGTAAAAATAAGTTTGTAAGTAACCAATACCTATTCACATTATAGGCTACTAAATAAATTTATGTTGCTCATACAAATACAAGTAAATTAGTAGACCGATACCTATGTATATAAAAGCTTCTTAACATACTTTACCCATTATTGCCCATATAAATACAGGTAAATAAGTCATCTAATACGTACCCACATAATAGCTTCTAAACGAACTTTACTCATGATTGCCCATATTGACATATTTTGATTGTCTTGTTTCTCAGGGCAGATAATCCTGTTGGTAAAAACAATGTTATTTTTACATATTTCAAATAAATCAATCTCATAAATCTAACAGATGTTATGACACATGGGCTAAGAGAAAAAGAGCATTGGTTTAATATATTGGACACTTTAAAAAAAAAAGATAAACTTACTCAGATGGGTACGGTGGTTCTGGAAACTTTGTAGATTTACACTCAAAAGCTGCCAATGTTACGGCTGCTATGTGTGGACCCTTTCAAAATAAAGCAGCAAAAATTTATGTTACCACAAACTTAGGGTATTTAGAATTCACACATTTTAAAACTTTTCAGACATATATTCTACAGATGGTTATGTTATAAATTACAGGGTCATAATTCTTAAAGAATTTTTAAAAATTCAAAACCTAAACTATTTTTTATAAGAATTAAGAATTTCTTAATGGGAATGTAAAAAATATATTAAAAGATTGAAACGAGAAGTAAATGAAACAATACACTAGGCTTACCAAGTAGAGTAAAAATGTGTGTAAACCAGTGCCCAGACCCACAGATGAAAGAATGCCGAGACCGACCCAGTAGGCGCACCACAAGAACTTTTTCTCTACAGACTGTACAAACTATAAACAACAAATGTTCAAATTAACATATATAAATACACAATTTAACATTATTTATGGATAGTAAATATTTCCACAGTGCTGCATGTATTACAATGTTAGATTTTAAATAAAATTATCCATGTTTTGACTCAAAGCCTTTTGGTGTTTTATTTGTAGTAGATATGTACCTTTTGATGAGGACCATCCATTTGATAAATCACATATGCTATGCTGATTAACACTAAGGTCAAGGCAACTGATTTTTTCCTTTTGTATAACCTATTGAAAAAATATCACAAGTTTTAATTCTATGTTTGACAATTTAAAACGCAATTAGAAAAATGTGCATCAGCAGAAATGTATATAATGAAAGTGTAATAGTAACTGGTTTTTAATTGCCTTAAAAAAAGAAAATATTTTGACTTGTGCCATCACTGCATTACCTGTTTCCCAAAAGGGAGGCGAGCACAAAAACTTCTAGAACAAAGTACTGCAAGGTGGTCAGTGGATGGCGCCAGAGAACCAGTTTCTCCCTTTCCTTCCTCTCCGTTTCTAAAGTGTCAGTCATGGTATGGAACTTAACTTCTGAGGGCGATGTGTGAAGACCATTGGTAGATTTACGCTGACGTGGAGAAGTAGAGGACTCCGAGACTTTGGCATTATTGCTTTTGGCCATAGTCACTACACTGTTGATTTGGTTCTGGTGATCCTGGATACGATGGATCTGATAAGAAAACAATGAGTTCATATTTACAGCATAAAAAACTTAGTAAATAAGACAACATTAACTGTTGGATAATATATTTTATTCATTTCCTTTAAATATAGTTTTACAAAATTGAATGCTTTTTTTACACATAAATAGGCTGGTAATGTGTAAACAAAGGTAATACCATCAAACAAAAAGATAATGAGACACAGCATCATAATCTATATGACAAGTAAACTATAGGGGAGTATTGATCTGTTTAACACCTACAGTCCCAGCTAGTTATATGACCATATGTTGCTAGTGAACATAGTTTTAGTCTCTCTCTATCTCTCTTTATATACATACATATACTTACAAATGCATGTACACAGAGAGAAAGATAGACATGATAATACACTAAATATATTAAAAGCCATGTAAAATACTTATCTATCTATCCAAAAAATGATTTTGTTTAATTTTGAATTTTATTTAAAATAAGAATGACCTATCAAAATTATAATGGCTCTTGCCCTATAGCTTCTTGGTGATGATCCAGCCCTTTCTGAGTATTGCAATATATTAGAAATAAAATTATAATATCACCTAAATATTTTCATCCTAAAATTAAATTAAAAACTACAAATCAAGCTACTAAGATATTCCTCATTTTTATGACAACATGATAAATCTAACAGGTATTAAAAAAATCCTTGAATTAAAAAAAAATCACCCCATGATGAAGTTTGTCCTTTCACTGATACTACCACAAAGATATGATGTAAACAAGCAGGTACACACACCACTAGTTAATGTAGACCTGCTATCTAACCCTATCAGTAGCCAATAAGGTATCACTAAGCTCAGCCCTGTGGCTTCTTATCAACACCCTTTTAAAGGGAAGTGAGCAGGATTTATTAAAATTTTGGAGGGGAAAACATTAGATACACCATACTTTAAAAGTTAAAGGATTAGATAATTTAACTTCACAAGCAAATGGACTTGGTATTAAAAGAAAAAAAAAAGATGCTACAGTTAATCCAAACCAAAAGTTAATATAGAATAGTTAAAAAATTATTGTGTGAATGTTGTAAGTAAAATGATTTTTTAAAAATAGGCCTTACAGCATGAATAAAGTTGCTACTAGCTGTAATAAAATAACTTTTGATCTTAACAATAGTCATCAATTGTAGGGTAGAAAATATAATTTGTAAACCATTTTATTTCATACTAAGTTGAGATAAATAGCAAAACTGGCCTTTGCCTAAAACTGGAAACATTTTTGATGGCCCGTAAAATATATCCTATTGTTACAAACTAGACAACAGAAGTTTCAGCATAACAGCTGGTACCCACTGTTGCACTCACTAATTAATACCACGATTACTTCATACACAAGTGTGAACAAGATTGTTGCCTTTGTGTAAAGGTTTGAGAGCTTGTTGAAAACCAACAGCTGTAGGGGAGTTAGATGATGTATAGTAATTACACACCTCAAGATAATGCCATGGAGCTGCTCTAGTGATTAATGTTACAGCTAAACATTACAAGTAGAACAGCTAACATCAATGCTTTTAGTTGAAATTTTTTTTTTTTTTTAAATATACTAAATTCAGATTCCTCTTGACACTTAAAACATTTTAGTTTAACAAACCAATAAAACAATACTGCAAAGATGTAGGGAGGTGCCATTATTTTATATGAGTAATGTCAAAAATTAAAACTATAACTTTGTCAATTCAATAATAATCAGTAATTAAATAAGTATAACAACTACATAATTAAAAGGACACCCTACTGCTTAACAATAATGTTAAATACTATAAGTAACACTATATTAAGAGAGGACATTACCCCCTGTCAATTACCCCTGCACATTTAGGGATGAAGGTTTAGAGTTGGTGTTAGGATTGATGTTGGGGTTACAGATTCTGGCTCTTCGGGAGGGGGGGGGGGAATCCAAGGATAATGATTAAGGGGTAATGTCCTTGACCTAAATATTAGTATTATTACAAATGAGGAAATTGTTAAACAGAGTGCAATTATCTTTATAAATTTGATCTACTTGTAAGTTTTAAAAAAAATTTGGTATTCCTAAGTAAAAAAAATTAAATTAAAAGGATGCAACTTTCTGATTTCATGAAATTTATTGACCATGCATACATAAAATATTATTAATTTGCCATCCATATTTTATTATAAATGCACCAGTAATGATGAGTTGCTTTAAAATTAGTATTAAAAAATTCATATCAAACCTCGTGGAAGATAAAAACAATCTAAAAGTGAATGCAGAAGGTAAGCAAACAGCAAAAACAGAAGTGCTGTGGCTGTCACAAAATTAGGGTGGCAGAAACAGCAAGTCTAATCAAACAGCTGTAAAAAACAACAAAGTTTACAACAAATGAATTCAAATAATCACTAGAGTCAAATTCAAAATAAAAAAGTGAAAAATGAAAATTTAACAACAAAAAAATACTGCTAGTTGATAAATTATTTAGCAACACAGCAGTGCACTAAGGTGTCATCCATAAATTATTTAATGCAATTTTAGCAGGCATTTAACTTGACAATTACCAGTATTCCCTAATTTTAATGAATTTAAAAATGTGTACGTTGTCAGCCTATCACACATATAAATTTCTCCTACTTATATTTTTCTTCAGCAAATTTATCATTTTGTTAGATGTTTAAACATATAAGCTATCATTACAATCAATACTACACAAAAATAACTATTATAAAAGGTCTAAACTGTTTAATCATAGTGTTTAACATAAAATGTATTGAACATTAGGTACTGTTCCTTGTTAAGCCAAAGAAAGAATGTTTTTTTTGTCTTAGGTTAAAATTGAGGTATGATTAGGTATAATTTTTTATGATACTGACTATTTATGTCAGTCATTCCTCTTCTGCCTCTGACTTAACTGGAAAGTAACTTAACGTGTAAACTAGAGAAACAACATTAAAACAATTTTTATGAAATAAAGTGACAACAAAGAATGAGTAGATATAATAAGATGAAACAAAGAATATGCTTAATCAGTGCTAATAGTTAGGATAAAATAAAAATGATTTAATATGCATTGTATTGATAAATAAAAGCGATAGGTGACCAAGCTGTATCTGCTATTAAGTAAGTGTATCTTATACCTAAATATCTAACTTAACATAGAAGTGTCACTGGACAGGTTAAATTGATTCTAGGAGATGAATTCAGTGTTAAGATGTGCCAGTTATTTTAATAAAAGGGGATTTCAACAGTCCCAGTTGAAAATCTGATTCGCATTTTAGTCATGAGGAACTAAAGGGAATCAGAGCAAAACCCGCACTGTTTCAACATGGTTATAAATTTTTTTACCATACTGTAACTACCAATTTTACTACCGTCCTTCACATTTCAGACTACTTTGTTTTTTTTTTAATGCTTGCACTCTAATTTTTTTAAAATAATTTGTTCATGTGGTGTTGATGTAGCAATCTTGGTTACAACAAAGATTTGATTTAATTTTCAGAAACTATTTTGATATAAATCCATAAATTTTAGAGTGTGCATCAGTAGTTTTTTTTTTTAATTATCAGTTTACACTATAAGAAAAAAACAGTTGTATTAAAAAGTTTTATTTTTAACTCTTCATTATCCAGGTAAATTAAAAATGAACTCAATACAATCATTGCTGTTAATAGGTATTGTGATACAATTACTATATGTTTAGGACCCTGTCTAAGCTGCTCACTACACATATCCCTGTTTCTTTATCCATTTCACATCATAAAATGTAGGTAACATCTTGTGTTTTATGGGGTAGAGTAGAGTAGGTTTACTATACACACATTAAATCAATACAATTTTGTCATTTTTAATGTTTTAAGTTTCAATCAATCAGTCAATTGTGCCTTAGCCCCTGTGATCGTTAGGGCACCAGGTTGATTTTCTAATAATTTAATATTTATATGAATGAATAAAAAAGAACTAGGGAGATAACTCTCCAGAAAAATACTAAAATAATTACTGTATTACGGTTTACTATTGGGGCAAAACACAAAAATTTTCAGCCTACTCACGCTGGTCCCCAAAAAATGTATTTAGAAAAGGAAACAGCATATTATATAAAAAAATAAACATACAGGCATATACTATACTATTCAATTTCAGTTCATCTATTCTATTTTGAAAAAAAAAACGACTAAACATTGTTTTAAAAAGGCGCTACATTGGGATAAGGCTTGTTTTGCTCGCCCCTGTTGTGATGCCAGTTTGGGACGGGGCGGACCTTCTATAACGTGAATTTATTGAGGCCACGCCGGGGGGACGATCTGACCGGGATTCAAAGGGTCGATTCTAAATATCATCCGAATGGGCTAATGTCACTAATGGATAGACATATATTTACTACCAATATTATGTTTCTGTATAAAACATTGAAATAACAGAGCAATTAGGTCTACGATTCAAAGTGAGAGTTATGAATTAGATCTAGAATCTAGAATTTATAGGAATTTTATAGGCCCTGCGGTTAGGCGACTTGGGCCTTTAGAAAATATTTATCAGTCTGCACAAAACAGACAAAAAAAGACAAAAGTCAGGTAAATAGGAAATAGCAAATAGATCTAGATCTAATACCACACAGAGAAGTCTTATAACACTACTCGGTTTGGGCTCAGTAACAGTTGGCCCTTTTTTAAAAATAAAGCAAAAAGCTTAAATTTTGTTTGTGTGTGTCCGCTTACCAAAGCTGATTTTCTGCCTTTGGTGTTTCTTCCGAGCGATCTCAAAATGTGTTTCAATTCGGAAACAGAAAGAAGATGGAGATTTTGACACTGTATTTTATCGTGTTTATCGACAGGCATTGTTTTAAATATTCATAAGGAGAATACTAACTTCAGATAACAAAATCTAGGTCAGACAAGAACATCCTCATAGGGAAATGTGACACGACGCTGTTGGTTGCTAAACTGTATAAAATACTTCCATTAAAGTGAGACGATCAGAGCTACATGTAGTTGTTTTCGTAAAGACACGTCGTCGTAAACATACATTTATATTTAAAATATATTTAATAATATTGTATTTCTAATACTTTTTAAGATAAATATTAATAATATTAATATGTTTATGACGAAGATAATTATATTTTAAAAAATGCCGTTTAAGTTCGAAATCAAATCGGGATGTTCATGACCTACGATTCTCAAAACTTACAATGGGTTGTTGTCCATTCCTTGATGACTTGTATTACAAGTTGTTAAGTTGATCTCAATATAATCTAGATCTTGTAAAAAAAAATACATCAGTATCGATCTACCTGTCTATTATCTATTCACCCCGCCCACATAAACAGGACATCATGCCTGCTGTCACTTTACTCAGCCCTCATCATCAGTTTCTTTCAGGAATCTCTTCGGGGGGGGGGGGGGGGAGATTTATATATATCATAAATGTATATTTATAAATATATATTTTAGTACAGCCACGGTAATTTTAGTCTGCCCCCCCCCCCCCGAAAATCTCAAGTGCCCTCCCCCCCCCCCCCCCCGGAGAAAAAAGTCTGGAAGAAACATTGCTCGTCAGTCTCATACATTGGGCGTGAAGCCCTAAAGTCTTAACGGTGTGACGTTGTGTATACCTTTCTTGTCTAGAAAAAAAACACATCAGAAGTAAGTAAACATGTTCAGTGACAAAATATTTTAAAATGTTTTTATGTAACATTAACTTGTTGCGAATTGTCCCCCCCCCCCCCCCTGATATGTATAGTATTCATGTCGCAATTGTAAACGCAGTTCAACTCGCCTATATTATTTTTCAAATCATAAAGCAAACACACACATTTCCAGCACTTATTTCTCTCAAAGAACCACGAAATGTAGCACCGATAGTTGCCGATGTTGCAATGACTACGGCACCTGGGACTCAGCCCCCCACCCCCCCCCCCCTTGTCCTCAGGAGGTGTCTCTGTCAGTCATCTCTCCTGACTCCACCCCTACACGTTTTACTTAAATGCGTCTCGGAAATTAACTATTTTCAACCCAACTCGTCAACGGCATAAACCTTTATGGGCTAGACCTAACTTTGTTGTCATTGTATTTTAATTTACAGACCCCCCAAGTAACACAACAATGCGAATTTTCTATCGGCCGTCGTACTCATTTTGCACATTTACTCTATTCTTTTTATCTTAATGGTGTTTCTGTGAGTGTTAAAAAAAATAAGCCCCGCGACTTTTTGCCAACTGCTTGATTATGGTTCGTTATCCGTTATGGTTATTGTTATGTTAGGGCTAGAGTTAAAGGTACAAAATACAGACATTTTCATGCAAATTATTAATGGCATGTTCCAATTTCACCCTCTTCAATAAAATTTTAAAAGTACACGTTTCATATTCTCTTATTTATAATATTTTTTGTGTGTCGGGGGGTTAACTTTTTTGGTGGGGCTTAACTGGACAAGATCCTTACCACTGGCGAACTCGTTCCTTAGGTATCTGGCGAGCTAGCAGCAGGATCGGAGTTGGAGGAAATCACGCCAAACATTAAGAACACAGGATAATCTGGTTTTTGTAGTGGGTTAAAACTGGTCATTTAGGTTAGTTAATGTGCGATTTTTGTTTACTTTTGTCTACGACGTATTTACAGGATAAGTCGAGTTATTTTGAAAAGCCTATAAGTAATAAAATGTATACCTTTTCAATATTTCATATGTTTGGAAGCTATAAAGACTTTTGTTATAAAAATATAATTCTTAAGGTGCCCAGTTTTGTTCTTGTTAATTTACAAATATTTTGCGCCTTTTAAAACTGGCCAACGACAAAAAGACAAAATCCCAGAAACAAAAGACTCAACACAAGCACCTTGTCTAGCCCTACCCCCCCCCACCCCCACCCTCCATAAAGATGGCTTTCACAAGCCATAAATAGGGGTACTAGTCATTAAAGGGAGAGCACACCCCTTCATGTTACGTTTTATTATTTTCTTATGTTATTAAGTTATTATTATTCTTATGTTATAGAAACTACACAATTGCAATAAAGTTGCCCATATAAAATGTTAGTATAAAATCTATAAATTAAAAAATTAATGACAATAATTAGTGTTTTTATCATATTAGTAATAATGTATTTTCATAAAGTCATAAATACAAATATTCCTTTGATATTTACGTATATAAATAATAATAAAATGACGTGATATACCTGGTATAAAGGTATAAAATTAAGTTACAGACTGGCTACTCTATTAGTCTCTTACACAAAACAAACCATGGTTGTTACACTGGTTGTAAGTATCAAGATATTTTCAACATCGATGTCGTTTTTAAATTTATTGTATTAAGTCTTAAGTTGAAATAATGTACCAATAAGTACTGTATTTTTTAACTTTTGGACAAATTCACAATATTCTGGCTATAACTTTCGTGACCAAGTACGAAAAATATTTTTATTCTTTTCTTTCTTATCCTTCGTTCTTAATTTTTAATGTTAGAAGGATTTTCTTCCAACAGAATTAAGTATTACGTGTCAACTTGTTATGCGCTAAATTAGATAGGCCGTTGACAGATTTCAGCCTGCTTTTCTTTTAGGATTTGCTTGCATAGCCTTTGTCCAAACAAGAACAACATACAAGGCAACAGTTGTTTGAATTTAGAGTTGTCTCTCCTAGACGAGTTACTGTCCCCAACTAACTAGCCTCAACTAACCGGGTTTAAACCTATTGACTTCAGTCAAAGACGCGAGACTTTACTACTTTTACTAAAAACTAAAATCAACATTTAAAATCACAAAGCAATGCGCGTGCTATCTATTTCACTCTCAAGGGATTATTACTGTCTCATTGTTCATTATCCAGGTAGATTAAAGCAAGATGAAGAGATAGAATATTTCTTATAATCACTTTGGGTTTCCGCTCGGCTTTTGCACCCCCCCCCCCACACCTGCATTTACTTTCCTTAACATGAGTTAGGTATGTTTAAGTCTTGCATCCTTGGCCGGAAAAAAAACAACCAACATCAGCAACTAGCTGGACATTAAGATTCAAGCATGAACATTTCTTTTTGTTAATATTCTTAATAATAAATTAATAACTAATATTTCCTTAATGAGTTTTAGTTTCTAGGTGCTTGTAATCAAGACTTTGCGTGTTCGATTATTTAGGTACTGGTCATCTATGTGACGTCACTGGTGTCGGGGTGCGAACCTCCACGATGCAAAGGCGACGTATACACCGACAAATACTGCGATAATGTCTCTCGTTTGGAAACTGCGGACCCGAACAAATACGGGTATCTCTTTCCGTTAGATGAGTAGGTGTTGCTTTTTTTTGTGTACAGTCGCTTATTTTCAATGCCATTTAACTTTTGGTTTATGCAGTGGCGTAGCGAGGTCGGGTGTCACCCGGTGCGGCACT